AAAATAGTAATGTAGTGAAGCGCAAACAGATTATAAAATAGTAATGTAGTGAAGCGCAAACAGATTATAAAATAGTAATGTAGTGAAGTGCAAACAGATTACAAAATAGTAATGTAGTGAAGCGCAAACAGATAACAAAATACAATAAATTACAGCCAGGTTATGGGAAAGTAATGTAGTAAAAAATAAACAAGTTACAGGTCATTGTAATGAGGTTTCTCAAAACAAATGTATTGTATTTCCACAAGAATTTGGCTCTCATACACCATATAATTTATCAAGTGATTTTAATAGAAGAGCTGAGAGCCTGGGATAATAACATGAAAAACTATGAAACATTTCATTAAAAAAATTAAGCTTTCAGCTACTGTCCCTGATTGTTCCACTAATAACTCACCTTTGATATCAACCAAAGCATAAAAAATGTTGGATCTGTTGGAACAAAAGTACTTGTTGCAGGCCTGAACACTAACTGAATAGTTTGTAAAACTTTTGATATCTTCATCAAGAACAGTAGAACAAAACTGGCTTTCCATACAGTGCTGAACCTTCTTAAGCCTTTCATTAAACCATACAATATAGTGATGTAATATACCATTTGGATATTGAGGTCGTTCCCAAGTGATGCTAATAGCTGTAGAATTTGTTTTACCTCTTAAGTTCAGAGGTTCCGTAGGTTCTAAAAAAAAAATATTGAATTTATATTCATCACAACATAATGAGATTTAATATAAAACTTTTTACTGTTCATTTTCAGAGGCTAACATGATTCCTTTGTTTAATGATATCCAACTAATGTCTTACTTTGTTAATTTGCTGTTACTCAAGAAACAAACATATATTTCTGGATTAATAGATATATATATGATGCATATTCAAGCTCTTTAAAATCTGTAATACAAGTTAATGACCAACAAATTCTACCTACAAAGAAAATCAATTAATACAATTATGTCAACATGGCATCAAATTTATGCTTCAATACTAGTGACAAAATAAGTCATTTTAAAACATTTTTTTTAGTCAGAAATATGCTACAAAAAAAAAGGGACATCAAAGAAAAAATAAGCACAGATAAATAAGACTATATGTATACATACTTCCCATTTTTGTAGTGGCAAGTACTTCGTCACTAAATTCACTGTACATCTTGTTATGTGTTTTTGTTTGAACACTAACAAGGTACATTGTAAATGGACGTAATCCACCAGTCAACATCATTTCATCAGCTTCTGAATTATTCACTATCACTTGTTTGCGAGGTTCTGTTAGAGACACAACAATAGACAATTACATCAGTGAATATCTGGCTTTCATTTTACTAAATTACACAAACTACTACTAAATAATCATGATTAATTTTTTTCAAGGTGGAATTGGAGCATATTTTTATTTGCATTACAAGAATATTAATATGGTGAAACACGAAATCAAATTATATACGATTAGCATTCTTGCTGTGAGAATTTTCTGTCCATAAAGAATCAATGTACACCGAGAGAAAAGTATTTACTTCCGTTATTTAGCTTAATTCTTTTAATATAAAGTTTAACTGAATAAACATTAGGAGATAATGAAAATGATATCAAATTCTAATTAATATTGACAAGACAAATTAATTGATTAGTGTGCTTCTAAATAATAAAAATGAAAACAAAAATACATTTTTCCCAAATAAAAATATTCACAAAATGTCAGCCTTCAGTCTCTAAACACTTGTTATAAATAACACCTAATCAAAAACACATTAGGTGTGAAAAAGAGGTTTGGCCAAAAAAGGATTGAGTGTGCAACTTAAAGGAATGAAATCAAAATTGGAAGCCAAACTGGTGGCTACACTTATAGCATTAATAAGAATTTTATAGCAAATATTCATTCATTAGTTAGCCAAGCTACATTTTTTGTTCAACTATGGGCATGATAGCGGGTAAAATAAAATACATGGCCTAGCTAACTCATGAATGAATATTTGCTGTAAAATTCTTAGCAATGTTACAAGTGTAGCTACCAGTTTGGCCACTAATTTTGATTTAATTCCTTTAAGTTGAACACTCAGTCCTTTTTTTGGCCACATTTTTTTTTACGCCTAAGGTGTTTTTGATTAGATATCATGACATTTGGTCAATACACACCAATAAACCACACTAAATAAGAAACTGATACTCGGAAGTAACCAACATTAGCTTTAGGATCACAACCTTATTATTCGGAACAGACCTAAACTTTACAGAACCAACAAGATTGTTTAAAATATATGATGGTGTTTTCCCTCTCTAAAACAGTGTTAATAACTTCCTTTGTAGTAACGCCATGGAATCTAGATTAATAGTTTCTTGTCATCACCCGCATGCACTTGGTACAGCCATATTAAGCATCATTATTTACGCTAATTGCTGCTTAAGCTAATATCACATGATGCTCAACTCTCTTTAATTAGGAGAATTTTATAAAATTTAGTAAATTTGTGCTGAAAAGTTGGTAATGAATAATCAATAATAAGCATTCACCTGTATGATTGAGCTAGAAACTGATAATCTAGTTTGCTTGGCTTAACCAATACTTATGGATCTGCACGTCCTTTTACTATATAGTTTTGTTGCTCTAAATTGGCAGTCTTTAATCTGAGTGACAAAAAAACGCCCACTTTTACTCTTGGGTGAAACTGTATTAAAAATTTCAGCCCAACACCTCACGTGACTTTTTGCGTAGCCATGCTCAAAATTTTTGGTCAAATTTGAGCAGTTTTTGTTGAATAGCTTTGCACATGTGGTTTATATTTAGACCAAAATTGACACCTAATTATAGGTTTTTAAAGATTTATCAGTGTACCAAATTTGAAAAAAAATCCTTAGAAGTCAAATATGTTTTTCTAACACCAAAAGTATCCGTACTTTTGGTGTGAAGAGTAGGAAGAGCTTTAATCAAAATTGGAGATATTATATCTCATGTATTTTTTTAAATAGATTGTCTTGAAAGTTGGTATATGAAGTAAGAGTTCAGTAGAACACATCCACTAACAATATGTGATAGATTGGATTACCACAGTCTAAGCTATAAAAGGTGGAAAATTGTTAAACAATTACTCCTGTTAATAACACACAGTTGCAGGTTGTTTTTTGGCTGCAAGACACACTACTGTATGTCCTGATCTGAAACTCACACCTGTTGAGAAATTCATTTTTTGAAATAACTATACTATCTTCTAGTGATACTGTAAAAATCTGGTTCCGAGTTCAGGTATGTAAGTGTTCATCTATACATGTAACCACAGATGTTTGATAGTTCAGTTTCTTACAAGAACACTAGCAAAAATAGTAAGCACAGGGTAAACTTACAAAAAAAAGTATCAGATAAAAGCTTATTTCTCCATCATTTCTGTGACATTTTAACAGTGCCTCAATTGTGGACATATCAAAATTGTACAACTATTTAGTATAAACCAACTATTACTCACTTTTGATTTTTACAAAACAAACACCCAGTTTCTACAGTATATGTAATATTTTTTTAAGTTATTGGTTCCCAACTGTTTTGACCTGAAGCCTCCTCATGTGCACTGTATACACTTGTGCCCCCTTTTTCCATGGGCTGGGGCCACAAGAGTGAATTAACTGATACTGTCTAATCTCACATAAAGATAAGCCTGAAAACACCTTGTCATGTTTAGTCCACCTCCAAAGGTATGGGTGACAGTATTTTAAGTTACCAAAAACACTATTAACTTTATCCAATAGAGATCTTAAAAGTAATATATTACAGCAGTGTTGTGTAAACTTATAGTTACTATTAATTCAATATTTTACTGTTATACATTTGATTTGTACTGATTTTTATGCTAAGTAGGTAAATCAATACAAATTTATAAAAAAGTCAGATATAAAAGAATAAGCCTTATAACATGATGTTACCAAAAGCACAAAAAAATGGACTACATAAGATTTTACGACTAACTTAACCCACTTACTAATACAAGCACGGTTCAGTGACGACTGGCAATACTGGACGACGTATTCCTGAATTACTTTTTTCTGAGCTTTACAGGTCAAAGTCCATTTTACAATCAGAGTGGTTTCATTATAACCATAGACATCGATAACCACTTTGTCTAAAGCTATATAAAAAAAAAGGAAAAAATTTATCTTTTTTAAGTTCGGCTTTTCTTTTCAATTTTCCTACTTAAAAATGCTTTTTGGTTACACTAAACAACTTTTACTCTCTCTATCCCACAGACAAAATATTTTTCTTATTACAGTTTTTCAAATAAACAGACATAAATGCAGACATACTCGTAACTCGCTTTTTCTTAAGATTTATGAAGTTTATATCTGTATCAGTAACTAACCTGAAAAATGTTAATTAAACATTAGGAAGAACTCCGTTTTCTAAGTTTCAAACAAATTTCATCGGACGCGCAGAGTTAAAATTCTATTTTTTCATAACACTTCACCAGGTTTACCTAGAATCATCTGGCGAGATACGAGAAATAAGGCTAACTGAAATTAACTTAAACCATGCGAGTATTTGTAACAATAATTTACAAAATGTGATTAAGCAATTGTATAATAAATATAGTATTAATCAATGAACTGTCAAATATATATATATATAAATATAAAAAATAAAGCTTTAAGATCTGAGCAAAAGTATAGAAGTTTCTGTTTTGGTTATCAACAAGGCTTCTTTTTCGATGACGAGGAACCCACTTTGAGACTAATAATGGCTGGAGACGGCATGAATGGGTAATGAAGAAAAACTTATATTAAAGTTTTTCTTCATTACCCATTCAAGCCGTCTCTAGCCATTATAAGGCTTCTTTTATTTTTGTCAATGTTGTTTTCTCTCTTGAGAAATCTTACCTTAGAAGACGCGTGTACAAAAACGTAAGATGGAGATTTTAAATGTTTCCACAAACAAGTAGAAATCTGTCCGTTTGTTTTTCCAATATAACAGTTTTGGTAATCAGAAACTTTTATTGCATCCACATTTTCTGAAGTATCATTGTCTTTATATTTTTTTGGATAGAATTTCAAATAGTTTTTTTTTTTTTCCAGGTAGAAATGTAAACTATACCTTAATGTCAATTTCATATTCTTTGACTGTCTTCTACTAGATTTTTTTACTGCATGGGTAAGTTTTTTGGATGAAATGTAAAAACACAATAAACAGGGATACTTGTTTATTAAAAAAATTGTCAATTTTTTGGGTCATTTTCATTGGAAACATTTACTTTTTTAAAAGTGGGAGGAAAACTGTTTCATACACAAAAGTGAATTATAAATTTTTTGTTTTCTTTTTTTTTGAAACAACCTTGTAGAAAACTTATGATTATATTTGTAAGAACGGCAGTTTCTGGCATTGGTCATGAAGGGAATTCCAAGAAGTATAAAGTTCAGTTTTTGTATTTTCAACAATAATAGTCAGGAATGACAACTTGTCATCAAGTTCTTTTTACGTCAAACTTTGTATGGTTGTATCTGGTTTAGATTAGAAAAAAAAAGTCATAAATGGTGTCAAGGTCAGTAGCATGCAGAGGGGGGCGAAAGGTGCCGGGGTCCCGGCATCCAACGCAAAGAGTCGAATCGATTAGTAGAACCCTTTCCACCCTTCCCCAAGGTCTTAGGTACAAGGCCCCGGGCATCATAGAACCTCTGCACACCACTGGTCAAGGTTAACAAAAATCTGTAAAAATGTTGTTATAATAATGAACCCCAAAAAACTGGTTTGTAAAGGTTATACAAGATGGAAATATCTTCCATTCCTACCAGATATATAGTAGCAACAACTGGGGGAACACAATTTCCCATACTAAATAAATCCTTCAACTTGGTTATGATTTAAAACTTGAAACAAAAAACTGGAAAATTTAAGTGTGAAGATAAACAGTTCTCTAATGGTGTTGATGTTAAGGCACAAATGAGGCTTACAATAATTTTGGTGACATTCTAAGACAGCATTTATTACTCCAATAACAGGGACATGAGTGAACACAATTTTTACATCAAATGTGACCAATCGAACAAAATTATTGAATTCTCTGAGATTTTTCATTAAAATTTTACAGTTGTTTATGAAGTAGTAAACATGAGAAACAACCAAGCAGGAATTTCCTATGGTTGTAGTTGTAAGCTTTGTATACCAAAACAGTAGAACATAAGGGGGAAACCAGGTTTGCGAGTTTTGAGGAGGTCATAAATTTGAAGGATGAATAAATTGGTATTGATCGGTAGAAAGTTAAGAATTTTTTTGCACTTCTAAAAGAAGTTGTTTTAATTTCAATTCTTTAGACAGGGTTACGTTAGTTTCCATTTCTTGGAAATGCGATAACACAAAGAAGTAAGTGCACAATAACATCATTACTTTTGTCAGGTTTCAGTAAAATTTCACTTTCATCATTTTTTTTTATGATAAATATTTGAGTAATTATACAATTGTTGAATCACATGCTTTGTAGATACTACTTTTATGGACACACACAATTTTTTTTACTTTAAATTAATTTCTGTTAACCTCAGTTCTATCTCACCTGACAATGCCAGATAAACCAGGTGAAAACTTGTGAAAAAATAAACGTTTTACTCTGTACATCCAAAGAAAACTTATATAATCTAAAGTACATTTTAATGGATTAGTTTTGTAGACAACACGATAAAAAAAATCTCCATAAATACAGATCTCGTGACATGAAAAGTCACCTGCTGAAGAATGACACTAGCAGTTACTAGTGGATTTAATATAAGTACATCGGGACATCTTAATATCGATCACACCATTCTATGTATACGTACGTTTATGAGCTGAAACAATACACAATGCCCACTCCATTCCTGAAGTTGCTTTTCCAGAGTTAGCTGCAACAGCAAACTGGTAGCTTAAATCCTTCTCAAAGTCAAAGCTTATTGCATTTTCATCAGCTCGCAAGGTTTTCCAGCTGACTGGACGAGTGCAGGAAAAAGGACGAGGCTTTGAATTATTACACCAGAACACAGTGTAACTGGTAACAGGTACTTCCTCTTTAGGGTAACTCCACTGCAACTTGTGGGTTCCGTTAACATAGTTAATAACAGTGATGTTGGTAGGTTTGGGAATAACTACAAAAAAAACCAGATGTGTTGAGTTTAAAAATAATGTCAAAATTTAGTAACCTTTCAATATTTGGCACTTAAAATATGCTATTTATTTATTAAAATATGACTATTATCATAAATCTTTGAAAATAGCAGGAATACAAAAATAAGTATTATTTCAAAATACACATATATATATATATACCACCATTGGATAAACATGTTAAAATCATCTGCTAACATTATAAACAGGTGATGAAATATTAAGTTTGGATCATGCAAGACAAAACCAACTAAGACCACTTGGTGGGTAGAGCAAACAGTATAACCTTGGAGGAGGTTAACTGTGGCAATAGCACCAAAAACTTTGGAGATACCTGGTCTCTCCAATTAATTTTAAAACAATAATGAAAAATTATACAAACTGCTGACAAACAATGATAAAGATGGATAAGGCCTCAATGTTTAAACCCACAACGTTCTAAGCTGACCACCCATTAACCATTCACACCCAGTTGTGGGTGTATTAAAGTTTTAAAGATCCAAAAATTAAATTATAGATCCTCGAGTGCCAGTGTTAAAATTTAACAATTAACACCAGGTCGTATGGGGTCCAAGTGACCCCATGCTGGCATTTTAGGATTAATGATCATTACTTTTGTTTAAAAAATTATTATTACAAAATAATGAAAGAGACTGGTGCAGTTTTTATGGATGCTAGCAAATTTCTGATTATTGATTTAATATTGCTGACTGAAGCACCACAACACAATATCAATCTCATGATATTTTATTGAAGGTACTATTTATAGTATTATGAACAGTTTCACTAATCACTTTAGATTCCACAGGAGCTGCCTTAATCAGTGGCCCACATTCATGGATGCTAAACTTATGGACTAAAGCCATTACCCCTAAAAAACGAGATGCTAATAAATAGTTTCATATATAAAGATGTTAGTGATTTGGATGTTTGAGCATGACCAATATCATGTGTTTGGCCATATCCGAGGGAGCAGTGTTTTATGTGTGTACTTAACAGATGTTTTTGACTAACCTTCTTTGAAAATACCGCTGACTGTGTTTATATACATTTACTATAACTTTTACTAACTGTTCTATTAGGAGACCTTCATTGAACCAACTGGCCTATATTTACTACAAACATGTATGGATGAACTCTATTTCTACAATTTTTAAATACTGTGAGATTAGTTATAACCTTAAGATTACCAGATAAGATTCCATTACTTACCGTTTTCTCTGCTATCCACAAAAATTTCGGACGAGTTCTCTGACCGACCCTCTTTGTTTATCGAATACAAAATAAACTTGTACGGCATGTTAAGTTCTAAATGGTCAAATCTATATGTTGTTACAGAACCTTCCAATCTTTTCATTGAAATGATACTGTCAGAGTATGATGCATGATCATTTTGGCAAACAATCATATAATAGAACTCTTGCCCATTGTAGTTTTCTTTGGGAACAGGCTACAAAGTAAGGGGAAAAAAAAATATAAAAGCTACAAGAAAATATACTCTGATACGAAAGTAGTTTAATATACGATTCCAAATGATGTTAGTCTTACAAACTGACACTATTTGTTTTTCTAAACAGAACAGTTTGGACTTCAATGATAAAAACCGTATCTCTGTATCAGAGACGAGTTTCAGCCATAGAAGACACTTAATTAAATGAAATACAAGTTATTCACATCAGGAAATTATCATCCAATACTGATAGTAAAATATAAACAAGAAATTTTCCTAAGAGCCTTCTCTATTTTGTGGTAGTTGCACTCTTTTGTTTTATAAGAAGGATTCGTATCCTTTAATATTTTGATTGCTGTTTGATTTTATAGTTTTAAAATAAAATAAACGTTGTATTGTAATTTTTAACTTTCAAACATTATAAGTTGCATAAGTTATATTGAAGAAAGACTTTTCCTATTTATTCAGTTCGGCTAAATTTTAAGACTGTTCAAGTACTCCAACTTTCTTGTACATTAAGCTATCTAACTATGTTCCTATCTCACTTGGTGTCTCCAATTTGTTTCTTTCTGAAACTATAGAAAACCATTCAGAATGCACTGGTCCAACTGAGGTCCTTATTCATTAATAGCACGGGAAGGACTAATAATAATTATTTTTTTTTAAAAAGAGTGTATGAAACATTTTTAGAATTATTGTTAATATATTTTTTAAACTCTCGCATACTTAGAGCTATACATTGTTTTATGCTAAAGACTAACATGTTTAACAATAGAAGCCCAAAATTACTTATTACTGCTCATACATCTCAATCAGTAAATTTTTTAATTAACTATCAAATTACCAACTTGTTTTCATACTTACACTAGTGCTAGGTTTCACATATGACAGTACCGAGTGTCAGAAGTTAAAAATCTGATCTTTACCAGTTGTCAAAATAAAAAGGCTTTTTTTTCTTATACTTAATAGTATAAATATATACTGTGTTGTTGTTGGGCTTAGGATTCTTCTACAGTAGGTGTCTGTCACTTGTTAGCAATATATTCAACGATAAATAAACAGCAAGCACTTCTCTTGCTTTTCAATATTATATGTATGTATATATATAATATCGTAACAATTTAATGTAGGTACAACAAAGTAATCACACTATAGAGATTATAGGCATATCAAACACTATATGTATGTAGTTCTCTTCATCTTGTCAAAAGTCCACTTAGGCCTATTCAGTTATTTAGAATTTCAGTTGACAAGCCAAACTATCCTCTCTATTACTATCACACTAGTATTTTGTGTATAATTCACTTTCAACTGTGGCATGAGTTACTGTAATCGTTTGGTCTTCTTTCTTCTAAATATCCTCTGTTACTTTTGTTCAAAGTGCACTCAGGCTGATTCAATTACTTTAGAGCCAAGTTTTGGAGGAATAATTATTATTCTTATCCCCTTTTCTACTGTTAGTCTTTTTCTGACATATTAAACATTAGGCCTAGGTCAATTGTTAGGCCTATCACTTCTATGATAGTTAACTTCACACCCAACTTTTCCTAGGCTTTCTTTTTGCTATTATTTGTCTGCCCTTTCTGCTCATCTCACACCATTTATATATCTATCACTTAATCATCTGCCAGCCTTTTATATTCTCGACGTTAAAGTATTGCACACAACGTTCAGTAATCTCAATATCAATGACTTATAAAGACAACTTCCTAAGATCATCTGCTTTTAACTCTTATTATAACAAAAACTAAACAATAATAAAATATTCACTCACAAAAATAAATTAATCAATAATATCTAAATTAAACAATCTTTCATATCATGACACTGAGTAATTTTATGTTTTTACTCGTCAAGTCTTAATGTAAAAAAACTGACCAAACACAAATAGAGGGGAAGCATTCATTTTCCACGTAAAGTACATGGAGGACTTCAAGAATACTTTAGGAGATTTATTGCAAATACTGATGGCATTTTTGTTTAAATTCTTTCTTGGTGATCTGTACATTATTAGAGACTCTGCAACCAGCAAAGTCAGGGACCTACAAATAAGTTAATGCATAAATAAAATATAAATTCAAGAGTTAAAATTAGAAAAATCTGATCATTTCATCTCAATTAAATTAGCTACATAAAAACATCAAATAATTCTAACCTGCCAGTATAAGGTTATGCTTCTTTCAAGGTGCATAATATTCTGTTCAAAAGCTTCCTTCCTGATGATTGGAATCAAATATGGCACTGTAAAAACAACAATAACATATATGTATATATCTATGATAATGTTCAAACCCTCACGTCACAACATGAATTTGTTTTAAAACATAAATATACTTATTTATTTCAAGGAAAACATGGCTGATAGTAGATATTTCAATACGTGAACATTTCAACATACACATTATCCTACCAAAAGGTATGGGACACGAGTAGTTATGAATAAAATGTCTTTATTTCAAGAAATTAATAGCGTGTTGGCCAGCCTTTGGCCTTAATGATGCCTTAAATGCTTCATGAAAGACTGTCTACTAATTTCTGGTAGAGAGCTGGTGGTATTGTGCTCCACTCCTCCTTTAAAGCATTAGTAAGCTTTACTATTGAAGAGGGCTGTCTTGGCCTTGCCCTAATTCTGAGTTCCAGTTCACCCCAAAGATGTTCTATCGGGTTGAGGGCAGGGTTCTGTGCTGGCCACTACAATGTTCCATTGTTATTCTCTTCAAACCACGTGTTCACAATTCTTGCTTTGTGACGTGGAGAGATATCATATTGAAGGGTGTTAGGGCCGGTACCATAAAATTACCACAATGTAGGAAACACAGAATTGTTCAAAAAATCAATGTAGGGCTCAGCATTCATTGATCCATGCACTGCGAATAGTGAACATAGTCCATACCGTGAGAAGCACCCCAAACCATGAAACCATCACCTGCAAACTTCACTGTTGGGACAACACACTCGGGTAATGAGCATTCTCCATACCCAAACACATCCACCAGATCACTCCATAGGGCCGATTTCCATTGATCTACGGTCCAGGTTTGGTGTGCCTTGCCCCATGCCAATTGATGGTGTGTATTTCTTTTTGTTATCAATGGCTTGTGGGCTGCAGTTCTTCCTTGAAAATTCATGGCATGCAGCTCTCAACGTATCATGGAAACACTTAGAGTATTGCCTGTGGCTGCTCGCATCTCCAAACACAGATTCTCTAGGGTTTGACTGTGAGATGAGGTAACCAGCCTTCTTAAGGCTCATCGGCTCCTGTCAGTCTGTATTTTATGCCTATCTGGTCGTTTCTTGGGCTCATTTTCATCTGTGGACTTCCATTTCTTCAGCACATTGCCAATTGTCGACAGGGAATATTTAATTGTTGTGAAATAGCATGTACAGACATTTTCCCAAAATGACATCCAACTATTCTTCCCCTCTGAAACTCTGTTAGCTCTTTCCGTGTACTTTTCATTCACCATACAAATTCAAAATGACTTCTGAGGGAACTGTTGATCACCTTTATAGTCCAAACTATTTGCATATTTTATCATCACACCCATTTTCCTGCCATCAGAGGTGTGTCCCATGACGTTTGGCAGGATAGTGTAGAGTCAGTGTAATCATTCAAAAACGACTGAAAGACTAGAACATTAAAAGGAATAAATTATTTAAAAAGCTTAAATTAAAGACAAATTAATCTTTGGAAGCCTTATTAAACATTACTATAAAGAATTTCAAATTAATCTTAAACCTTTTTCCAATATAAAAATCCAATCAAACAGCAAAGTGTATTTTGAAAACCTTTAGTAAACAGTAACAAATGTTAAAGACTTGCTTATTCACCTATATAGAAACATTTTTTGTCTTGCATACATGTAAAAAAATAGGAAAAGATGAATTTACATTTACTATTTAAACTCAAATAATACCTATGTATATATTCTTAATGATAGTGTAACATATATATAAGTATTACTTTAATTCTGATAATACATATTTTCCAAAATAAACTTGCATCTGTATTTCGAAATGAATGAATCAAACGAAACATTCAAAGTTATTTTCTAAGCTATAAAAGAATTAACTGTATTTATATTTCACTCAAAATAAAAAAATATTATCCATGTTTACCAGTTATATTTGTTTGCCAACCAGTAATTTACCAGTAAAGAGCATTCAATGGTGTTTAACAACTGAATTACATTTGACAGAAATAAATAGCTTGCTCTTTATTATTACTTTCTTATTACACACACACACACACATATCTCTCAATATGTTGGGAGGCCTGTATATATATATATACACACATACACTCACACACATGTACAAAAAGGCCATCCAACACATTGTGATGAAAAAGCAAAGGGAAATAGGTCATGAACTTTTTTAAATTAGGACTATTTTGCTCATAAAATACCCACGCATAAATTGTCAGATTATGCAAGTTTTATTGTGTTTTGTAATTAGGTTATGAACATGTAGATATATTGTACTTGGAAAACAAAGAAAATAAGAGTGAGATGGACTTACTTGCCTTCACAATTAATACCTTATACAACATAAAGTCAGCATACTTAAATCAACTGCTGGAATATACTAGAAACAAAAACTGTTTTTTTGTTTTTTTTTGGAGAATTTTAAAATAGGAAAAGAAAGGCTGCTGGAACCACTTTAATATCAGGTTCTAACTTATCATTCTGAAAACATTAATATATATACAACAAGAAAACAAAAGGTTACCTACCATCAGGATTGGTGCGACATGAAATTTGTTTGAACTCACTCCACATATCTTCCACCTTTGGATCCACTTTGCTAGATTGACAGTGAACCTGGATTTCGTACTTAATGTATGGAGTCAATCCTGATAGAGTGTATTGAGTCGTATCTATTCCAAGTTCACGAATCTGTTTAAAAAACAACACCAAAAATCCTATTTGAGCGACACCTTCAACCACACGAGGTCTCGTTAAAATATGATGAGAATGCTGATAATTCAAATGTAATATTTTACTAAATATATTAATTTTATACTTACTTAAAGTTTGGTTCTCTAAGTATTGATATTTATAATTACAAATAACTAGGTTTCATTCTTTTATTTTTACTTATAGATTGTACTAGAAGTCCTAATTACCTTCCATTTATCTGAGGTATCAGCTTTTCTATACCACAATTGGTAATTAAGTCCAGGCTTAAATTCCCCAAACTGGAAACCTTTCGGATGAACCCAGCTAATGTTAATTTCATCTTGACTTTTATTAATAACGTGCAAGTTCAATGGAGCATCAGGAAGTACTAGTTAAAAAAAAACAAGAACATATTACAGTAACAATCAGCCTTAATAAAAAAAGTTATTAAATGGACCATTAGATATTAATATATATATTCTAATAACTATCAAAACAGGAAGAAAACTAACATAATAACAATAATTCAACTAAAAATCACAGCAGGAACTAATCTTGGAAAATAACACAATAACAATTAACACTAATCGAGCTGGAAAAATAACAATACAATAATACCACACACTAACCATAAGAACAGTGTACATAACCAACAGGACAGGAAGTAGAAGTATGAAAAGAAACAAATTGGCTTAAGTGTATATCTAAATATTGTTTGTTTTTTTAAATTTGATAAATGTTTCTCTCTCTTGTTCATCCTTGTTCTTTATTCTTTTATTTCTATATCTTAATTTGTTTAAAACGTATACGTGAAATGACAAAGCTTAATTCTGTGTTTAAGAAACAAACTTAGTCTTCGTCAGACACGGAATAATTTTTAGAACATTTAATAGTTTCTCGTTTGTAGGGAAATATTTACTGTGTATAAACATTACCCTAACAAAATTAGCCTAGAGACCTCAATTTTCTAAACAATCTATCAAAATATATCAAATGTAGCACGATGATTAAGGGCATTATAGATGTAAAAAATATATATAAGGATAATATAACAATTATGTTCACATCATTTAGGAAAAAAGACTATAACAGGAACTTCCTACTTGAGATTATTTTTTTAAAACAATTACAGAAAGACAAATGGTAGCGCGCACACACACAGTGGACTAATGAATTACAGAGTACAATTACACTGTTAGAAAGCCACAATGAATCTTGAAAAAACAGGTGGATGTATCTGTGCAAATAAGACAAACTGAGAGGTGAAGAATAAACTAATTTACGGTCTTGATGAATTGCACCAAATCCTTCAATAAGCCCTACATGAACATACAGTTTACAAAAGAATAGTGAAAAGATTTTAATTACACCTAATCTAAACATGGTCTATCTAAACATGTATCGACATAGTAGCCTATCCAGATACCTAACGACACTTCAAAATACCAAAATGAGATTTGCTTTTTACAAAACTTGAAATAATTTTCTAAGAGTTATGCTAATTTTTTCCACACGCATAGAGGTAGGAATTAACAATGTTAATTTTAAACAGTTGGTCACAAAAGCTACGTCTAATTTCTGAGAAAGTTAAAAAACGGATTTCTGCCTTACTGACTTGCATTCTCTCATATCCTTGACTATGAAGAAACAGTGTTTTCACATTGTTATGGAGCACATTTCAGAATTCTGACACACTTTTAAGGCTAAATATAAACTTTAAATTGATTGGATGAGGTCATTATAAACGTTTACATTAATTAGATTAAGTATAGATCACTACTGGTTAGGTGTTCAGTTAACTTTTCTGATATTTGCTTTCAACGAAAACATCGAAGACTTTAAAACGTTAAATGTTGCCTATCTTAAGAGGAACAAACAAACTAGGTTGTTAGATACAATTTGAAGTTGTAAACTTCCAAATCTACAGTCATTGTGGGACTACAGCTGGTAAGTACTGCTTAACATAAAATCTAATTTTCTTTTTTCTTTCTTAAAATGAAAAAACCGTATGAAAATTATCAAAAAGTAAACCTAGTCAGAAATCTTACACAATTTCACTTCCTTAGACCAACCCAACTTCGATGAGAATCAGTTACTTTACAAATCTGGAAAACTGTAAGGTCAAATAAATACGAAAATTAACAAAGGTTGTCCAATGTCTTGTTGTTTAGTGCCAACAATTACTCTGTTATTTTATTTAAAACACGTAACACTTTAGTAACATCATTAACAATCTTAAAAGATGCGTTTACATCAAACATTCTGACCTAAATTATTCTTCACTTCTAAACTTCTGGGGTCAAGAAAAATCAACTCACCTATTTGAAAGTGATCTTGTTGGAAATTCTTATCAAGAGTACCAAATATATTTTCTGAGTGTAGTTTAAAGTACAAGTTATTTTGGTATCTTTTGTATGATGGACTAGTATCCAGTCTCCACTGACAGCAAGTCAGATTGAGTGATACGGGGCATTTCTGGGGAATTCCGGGATACCCTGGCCTAAAATACAGAAGCATTTTATTTTATTCTTAAAGAATAACTATATATAATAGATCTGAAAAACATCTATATCATTACATTTCTTAGGTTTTTAAGAAAATGATAAAACTGTCATAAGAATAAAAAAAAGTTCAGGTTTTACCTTCAGTGGTTTAAAATCAAACCCACCTAACAGCTTACTACTACAATGAATTGTTTGGAGTACACATGGTGCATCAGGCTTCTTATCACTATAACAGATTACTACTACAATGAATTGTTTGGAATACACATGGTGCATCAGGCTTCTTATCACTATAACAGATTACTACTACAATGAATTGTTTGGAATACACATGGTGCATCAGGCTTCTTATCACTATTTCACACAATATTTTAGA